AGGCGCAGGCCGGGAAGGCGACTGGCCGAGCCCACGCCGCGCGCCACCCGCCACAGGGGACCACTACCCTCCTCCCGACGCCGCGGCAGCCCGGGGCGCGGACGCCCAGCGGTCGGCCGTCCCGCCGGAGAACAGCCAGCACAACGCGCTGACGTGCTCCGTGGCGCGGAAGACCCGCCCCAGGCACCGCCCACATCGCAGTCCTCCAATCGTTGAGGCGGACCTGTGTTCGGGCACGCTGAGTGGCTAAAGGGGCCTGGCCCTCTGCCCACTCCGAGAGTTGGAAAGGGGCAGTAGGCGGGCTCTAGGAGAAGAAGGCGGGGCTCCGCAAAGATGGCTCTCGTAACTAGGCAACCAGAGCGTCCGGAGATAAACCCCTGGATCCCCATAGGTCTTAGTCAAGGCTTAACCTGGTATGCACATCCAAAATGTGTTACTTGCCGAGCGTTCTGGTTTTACATTATCTCCAACTGGTTGGCGGGGAGACAGAGTCTCGCTCTGCCTTTCAGACTGGCCTTGAACTCACTTTGTAGCCCAGCTGGACTCGAGCTCGCAGCTGTCCTCCTACTTCAGCCTCCAGAGTGCTGGAATCACACGCCCGTCTTCTATCTCCAATTAAGAACCTAAGATCTCCCAATTTGTGCCCTGGTTTGTTTTGTTTGTGCAAGCACGAAGACAATCCTCTATGGTTCTGGCAGACTCAGGATGTAGACATACAGGGAAAAAAAAACACACTGGGACGATTATTACTAAGTAATCTCAGTAGCTCGATAAAGAGTAATGTTTTGACCTATAACATGTATTGCAGTAACATAAACTGAGAAATGTAAATTGTATGATATTTGCTGTAGGACAGGATCATAATTACAAAAGAAAGAAGTCTATGTTTAAAAGCACAGAAAGGAACAAAATGAAAGAAATATTTTACACTCACCACTGGGAGATAACCTCAGATTTTTAGATGTGTAGATTACTGGCTATTTGACTCCGGCAAGTTGGAAATTGTGACCTATTGGCTATTTTTGTGGTGTTTCCATTTTAAAAAGGTATGTGATATCTGGATTTCCAGTATGTTCTTTGAGGAAAAAAATGCATACTCTCCCCCAAAATTTAGGAATGTGTGTGTCCATTCAGTTACATATATACTTTTAAATTCTGATAAAAAGAAAGAGATCACTGAAGAGCCCAGTGACTTCAAGGGAAAACAATGATTTAGGACAAATGCTAAGGCCAGGGACATAGCTCAGTGTCATAAACACCTGCCTTGTAGTCCTGAGTTTGCTTCCCGGTACCAAAAAAAAAGACAAATACTGATTTAGGTTTTAAATTATTCTGTCCTTTACTAACACACTTATTTCTGCTGACTGTTTTTACCACACTTTTTCTAAAACTAGTGATTCACAAATGTAAAACCTCTATTGCTGATGTTCACAATTGTAGTTTTTTACTATGATCTGGCTTCGGTCCTATCAAACTACTCAAAACATGGGTTTTGGATATAACTTCTGTCTTACTAACTACCCTCTCAGTTCTCCTCTCCTTTGCAGCTTTTATACATTTAATGAAGTTCAGTCATCTAAAACTCTTGCCTTGACCTTTCACAGTTTTATGCTATTCCAGTTCTCTTCTTATCTCCCTGGCCATTCTTCCTCTGGCTTTTTATATGTGCTCTCTAAGATCTGCCCACATCTCTCTGCTTTCCTTATTTAAAAAGAAAAAAAGTTCCCTTAGAGATTTCAATTAGTACTTCTGTGCCTAAAGTTTCTTAGCATGTGAATGTTTTTTGAACATCTGTGAAATCATACATAACATCATTTTTTTCAAAAGATATATTCAGTTCATAGGTTCCCCATTGTCATGATAAAAGTTGACTCTTAGTTTTTCAGGACTGTAAGTGGCTCTTTCCCTTGGAGGTACATGAAATAGTTATGCCCACCCTCTGGAACTGAATCAAGCATGGCATGTATTTATGAGCCGGTATACAATTCTCCATGTTTTCTTTTCTCTTGCAGTGGTAGCTATTGGAGCCTATGTTGATTTTGAGGAACTGTTGCCCTCTGCCATGTGCCACCCTGCCTTGGAGCCAGCCAAGTATGGACTGAAACCTCCACAAACTGTAACCTAAATAAACCTTTCCTTTCTTAATTTTGGGCATTGGGTATTTATTTTGTCTCAGCAATAAGAGAAAAGTAACCAAGACAGAATTTGGTACCAGAGAAGCAGGGTCATTGCTGTGACTGTACCTGACCGTGTGGTTGAACAGCCTTTGGAAATGGCTTGTGGGAAGAGTTTGGAAAAGTTTGGAGAAGTCACCTGAAAGAGTAGAGCTAGAACCCCTTTGACTGTTGTGTCTGGGAGATTCTGGTCAGAGCTCAGAGGGATAGAAGGATGATAGAAATCCTGCCAGTAAAGACCAGGTTTGGGAGGTTTCTGCTGGGAAGGACTGCATTGGTTGTTGGGAGTCCAGATGACGTATGTTATGGTTTGGTAGAAAGTTTGTCTTCATTATGCTCCTGTCCAGAGAAAGCCTAAGACTGAGGTTAAGGGCGGTGGACTAATTAATCTGGCAAGAGAAATTTCAAGGCAGTCAAATGTTGGGGCAGTGGCATGACTGTTGTTGGGGGCTTTTAGCCAGATTTATGTTGAGAATCAAGAGCAAAGAGCCCAAGAAGATGATTTAAAATGTTGTAAGTCTGGACATAAAGGAAACTCCAGTAAAGCTGTGGACTGTAAAAATAAAGCTGAGGAGATATGGATTGGTGAGAAGGAACAGAACCAAAAAGATGGCCTGAGGGCATCAAAAAACCCCACAAGTCTCCACCCTTTGCAGTCTCAAAACTGCAAAGGTGAAAGACTTTGCTTTGAAAAGAAAGCCACAGAGTTCCATGTTCCAGAATGGCGGCGGCCACATCAGGTTCCACAATTATGGCGGCATAGAGAATTTGTTCCTCAGAATTGGATTCAGAGTGTCCAGAGATCGGGGCAGTTGACCCTTACAGCCAAGAGAGAGGAAGACCTGGCTACAGCTACAGCTGGCAGCAGACCTTGGCATTATCCACATGGCACTGGTTTTAGGTGCATGCAGAATGCAAGAGTTCTGAGGTTAAAAAGGCTTCCATCTCAACTTCAGAAGGCCTGGGAGGCCAGGCAGTGTGCCCCTGAGAAGGCAATGTGTAAAACTGTGAGTGAGAAACCTAACGCGCAGCGGAGACCTCAGAAGGTTGAAAAATCCAGGAACATGGATTGTGTAAGGAAAGCCGCAAGGAGGGAGAAAAGTGGGCACAAGAGAGAAGCCCTAGGAACTACAACCACCAGAAGTGCCATAAGGGTGGAGTCATACAAAAGCACTTTGGAGTTCAGATGTTCCACAAGGAACTACAGGCCATAATGTTAGCTCTGCTGGATTTTGGACTTGCTTTGGTCCCAATCCTTTGTATCCCCATTTGCACCTTTTAGAATGGTAATGTTTATTTTGAGCCATTAAATGTTGAAAGTGTTTAACTTTTCATTTGTACAGGGGCTCACAGCTAAGAGTTTGCCTTACATCACAAAGGAGACCTGGGACTTCAACTTTGCAGCAATGCTGAAACTGTTAGGACTTTGGCAACTCTTTCAGATGGACTAAATGCCTTTTGCATAAGGGATGTGCATGATTCTTTGGGGGAGCACGGATGGAATGTTATGGTTTGTGTCTGGATGTCCCCCCAAAGCCTCATGCAGTCATGTGGTGGGCTTCTACAGTTTCTGATTGATTCATAGTCCAATGTTGGAATTATGGCTCTGAGTGCTATGCCCACCCTGGGGCGGGTAATTTGCATATGAAATAAAGGAGGGAAGAGGCTGCTTGCTACTCCTCCCCTTTTACTCTTGCTGCTTTTTCTGTCTTCCACCACCATGAACTGTTGCCCTCTGCCATGTGCCTCTCTGCCTTGGAGCCAGCAGAGTATAGACTGAAACCTCCACAAACTGTGAGCTAAATAAACCTTCCCTTCCTTAATTTTGGGTGTCAGGTATTTTTCGTCTCAGCAGCAAGAGAAAAGTAACCAAAACAGGAGCTGTAAAATCAAAGCAGCATGGAATGTTGAGCCAACACATGGAAAGTAGCTGCTTGGAAGTTGGAAGTTCATACAGACTTAAAAATAATCATAGAAGGACCTTTCTCAATCTGCTAAAGCCATTTATGACAAGCCTATTGCCAACATCATATTAAATAGGGAAAAACTGTAAGCTTTTCTTTGAAAAATCAGGAACATGCTGGGCATGGTGGTGCACACCTATAATCCCAACACTCAGGAGGCTGAGGCAGAAGGATCATTGCGAGTTTGAGATCAGCCTGGGCTACAAAATGAGCTCAAGGCCAGCCTGAACTGCATAGCAAGACCCCGTCTCAAAAAAAAATGACAAAAAACGGAAGAAAACTAAAATCAGGAACATGTCAAGAATGTTCACTATCACCACTCTGTTCAACATAGTCCTTAAAATATTAACCAGATCAATGAGCCAAGAGAAAGAAATAAAAGCAATACATATAGGAAAGGAACAATTTAGTGTATTATTATTTATAGATGACATGATCCTCTACTTACCAAAAAATTCTAATAAAATACTCCTAGAACTAATAATCAAATTCAGCAATGTAGCAGGATATAAAATAAATGCTCAAAAGCCCAGTGTTTATATAAGCTAATAATGAACTCTCTGAGGAAGAAATTAGAAAAACATTCAAAATAGCATCAAAAAAAATTGAAAATTTAGGAATGAACCAAACCAAGAATGTGAAAGACTTCCATAAGAAAAATTACAACACCTTGAAAAGGGAGATAGAAGAGGACATCGGAAAATGGAAAGTTGTCCCGCGTTCCTAGACAGGCAGAGCCAATATAGTCAAAATGACTATACTTCCATGACTGACATATACATTTTTTTGTCTTTTTGAGACAAGGTCTCACTACACAGTTTAGACTGGTCTTGGACTCACTTTGTAGCCCACGCTGGCCTCAAACTCACAACGATCCTCCTGCCTCAGCCTCCCAAGGACTACAAGCCTGCACCACCATGCCTGCCTCTTTTTTTTTTTTTTTTTTTTGTACTGGGAGTTGAACTCAGGACCTTGCACTTGCCATTCAGGCACCTGTGCCACTAAGTTATATCCCGGCCCTGACATATAGA